ATGAATCTTTACAACTATATTTTAATGTCAAACCCAAGTTAATTAGCCATCGACATAAGAGCGGATTAGAATTCGGTGACTTTATAACGAGCTGTTTTAGTTCACAAGGTACAGTTTTTAGGAACCATCATGGATCCCTTGAAAACAGGCCACGTGTCTGTAGTTCATTAACCAGCTCTTTCCTACTCTCCATTGCATGTGTGAATGTCTTTAGTCATGTCTGTAGACAGACGTGAAGCTCACGATGACACACGATACAGCCATCTTATGCTTGCTTGTGTTAAGTAACCAAATCATACGTGTGTTATGCTTGTTGGGTTGCCATACAACTTCATACACGCGTGGCTCACGCTGCAACATAAACTGGACAGCCGTATGTGTCCACAGGCTGGACAGCCCTGTTTGTCCAGACACCGGACAGCCCTGTTTATCCAGGCACTGGACAGTCCTGTTTGTTCACACACTAGACAGCCCTGTTTATTCAGACACAGAACAGCCCTGTATCAGCTAATAAAACCACACCAAGATAACCAGTTGCAGCATGACTGTCACGAGACTTCACGTCGGCTGACAGCTCTGATATCCCCACCCCTGCCTCTACCCTCCACCCCCAGGTTTTTTTCTTCACGCTCCGATGATCTCTACCCCCCCCCCCCCCACACACACACACAAACGTGATCCCCTCTCACGCCTGTCCTTGAAACGACTTGTGCAAGAAAAAAATTGAAAAGAATAGTTTCTTTATGTTTGAACTTGAATTCTGCATAGAATTTATTGACGGGAGAACTTAATCACTGCTGGTGGAGAATGGAAGAAGTGGGCGGAGGCAGTTCGTGGTGGGGATAGTTGGAGATACAGTCACTCATTTATGCTGAAGTTTTGAGTTATGGAATTAATTGCATGTCTTAAAGCAGCTGTTTAAAAAAAAACAACCTTTCCAACAGTATCTTCCTACAGCCGAATACATTACCTATCACCCCCAGCTTGCCTCGTAATAAAAGCTTAGCTCGAAACTTCGAGTGACCGCACAGACAGTGAAGCAACAGACGAGAGAAGCATCATAGAAACAAAAACATTCCATAAATAGATAGCATATCATACGTCTTTTTAAAACGAGTACCCGGAGACGAAACATTTTACACAAATTCACTTTAATTATATCAATATATTTTTAATTATGTAGATTGTATGTTTCTGTAAACTGTTCCACCCCCCCCCCCCCCCCCCCCAGCACTGGTCCGAGTCTCCCTAAACAGGTTCATCTCCCTGTGAACCCCTGGCTTAAATGTATAGATGTTGGGGTAATTACACCAACCGCCCATGTATACAGTGACGACTCCTTGTATGTCTAGCAACTTTGGAAGTTGTTTATGTGACCTGCTCATGCATGACGAATCCTCCCCAACTGCCATCTCTTCCCTACTCCCCCCCCCCCCACTAGTCTCGTGAACGGGGTTTCTACACTGTTGTTGTGTCACTGCTGCGGTTGGTCTGGTCACGTGACACCACGGACACGGCTCACCAAACACCTCACGTTTCGATGGCTCTCAAAGCGTATCGATGCTGTGGTCAAGTAGCACTAGGATATCGATGTAATCGGTGTATTCTGACTGGTATCGATGCTGTTGTCGTGTAGCACTAGGATATCAATGTAATCGGTGTATTCTGGCCGTTATCGATACTTTGGTGCGGTATCGTTTAGACTACTAAAGCGTGAGGTAAGGTGGCAATTAGATTAAAGATAATCCCAAGCTCTCTCTTTGACGTCCGCCTGGGACCTCTAGTGTAGATAAATCAGATCTAACGAGCTTCAGCTAGATTTAAGTTTGGCGTTTCTTTTCTACTCACCCCCCCCCAAACCCGCACTAATTTCAGGACTTCAAACTGTATTGTTTGGGTTGGAAGTTACACGTCCTGGTAGTTTAAACTGAATACCTTTAGTTACCTGATACTACCTGGCTAAAACTGAATACCTTTAGTTACCTGATATTACCTGGCTAAAACTCAATACCTTTAGTTACCTGATATTACCTGGCTAAAACTGAATACCTTTGTTACCTGATACTAACAGGCTAAAACTGAATACCTTTGGTTACCTGATACTAACAGGCTAAAACTGAATACCTTTAGTTACCTGATACTAACAGGCTAAAACTGAATACCTTTAGTTACCTGATATTACCTAGCTAAAACTCAATACCTTTAGTTACCTGATATTACCTGGCTAAAACTGAATACCTTTGTTACCTGATACTAACAGGCTAAAACTGAATACCTTTAGTTACCTGATATTACCTGGCTAAAACTGAATACCTTCAGTCACCTTGAGTGTAAAACATTTACCTGTGTGTAAGAAATGTAACCGTTCCCTCCGTAAACCACCACACGTGTACATGTTTACATCTGGCCATCTTGTTTCTAAACAATTAGCGTTGTCATAGCAACTTGAAGCCTTGAATCCCTTAGGCATCCTTCAACCCCCCCCCCCCCCCCCCCCGCATTCCCCGCCCCCTTCAGCTATTGTTCCCCGGTTAAAAACAGTGGATAGATGTAGGCTATAAAAACTGTAAGCAGCTGATTGGGTAAACAAAGTGTTTAGATATCAGCTGTGGAGTTGATGTCATGTGACCAGACTACGCCCCACCCACCCCCTGATGATGTATCTGTGTGTAATCTCAGCGCATTGTGTTGTTTTGTTCATTTAAAACAAAAGACGTTCAGATTAATGGGGGTTAATTTTAATGGGAAACAGAGGAAATTAGATGAACGAGTGTTTTTTTTTTTTTGTTGAAGTAAAGGGAACAATAGCACGCAGGGAGAGAAAAGAATGGCAAACAGAAAGGGAGATAACTTTGCATAAGTTGCATAAACAAGGGAAGTCACAAACGATATCATCACCAACACACTAGAGTAGCTTTCCTCATACCAGTTACGGTCATCAACATCAAAGGGACATTATACAACATACAATAGGACTTACTTCATTATACATTAGCTGAACAAAAGCAGTACTTTGCATGGCACATTTGTCAGATTTCTATAGCAGGGGAAGTAATCGAGCAAATTAGCCGTTGTTTGCGAGGCATGCCATTTGATGCAACAGGTTCATTCCATGCGTTGAATTGACTCAGGAAACACTAGGTTGAAACCTTGACCTTTCATTAAAATGTCGTTCACTCGGCATTGTCTACTCACCGTCCAATCATGCAAGTCCCTATGTTGGCGGAGTGCTGTTTACAAGGTAGTTGGGGGGGGGGGGGGGAGGGGCGTACACGTTTGAAACAGCTTTCTAATGTATGCGACGTGCGTCACTATCGATCACTCAGCTATTCACTCGCGAAAATTGATTGAATTGTTGCGTCCGTGACTGGGGCGGGTTTTTTCTCTCGTGGTTTACTACACATGTTGGTTGCTTCCCTTGTTTTTTACTAGTCTTGGTTGCTTCCCTTGTTTGTTACTACACATGTTGGTTGCTTCCCTTGTTGGTACTACAGTCTTGGTTGCTTCCCTTGTTGGTACTATAGTCTTGGTTGCTTCCCTTGTTGGTACTAGTCTTGGTTGCTTCCCTTGTTGGTACTACAGTCTTGGTTGCTTCCCTTGTTGGTACTACACATGTTGGTTGCTTCCCTTGTTTGTTACTAGTCTTGGTTGCTTCCCTTGTTTGTTACTACACATGTTGGTTGCTTCCCTTGTTTGTTACTACACATGTTGGTTGCTTCCCTTGTTTGTTACTAGTCTTTGTTGCTTCCCTTTGAAACTGCGTCCCTTTTTTTGTGTTCATAATAAGTAAAACATGATCAAGAGGTTATGGAGTTAGGTCATGCTGTTATTGTTAACTTTGGTTGTACACACAAACCTACATCACGTGACTGTGACAACGATGGGTTTTAGTTTCTCCCCCTTATTTAACCATCAAACGTCCATGTTCTGTGCAATAACAAACTCTGTGACACAAAGTGGTACTTGTGTCTGCATCAATGGTCGCTTATATCTGAATCAAGTGCTCACTTCACTTGCGCCTGCATTATTTGACAGCCTTTATGCTAATTAAGTCACTGATAATTAGTCGAAGGACAAGCCTCATTAAGAAAAATGTTTTAAATATATTTTAGTGGGGATGGGGGTGAGTTTGGTTTGTTTTGTTGTATGTAGGATGTGTAAGATGGAGTAGTAAGCTCTGTTGTATGTAGGCTATGTAAGAGAGTGTAGTAAGCTCTGTGGTTATAAGAAAAGTATGGGCCCAGTGTACGTGTTACGATTTAATGATGGCGCACTAATGAGACCCACTCTCATCACTAGGTTTAATTAGATCGCCGGAGGGAGAGGTATATTTTAACTTGAAATCCTGGTAGACATTTCCCCCGAAATCCTTTACAATCTATCAAAACTGTACCAGGCTGGAAGTGGTGTTAAGTAGTTGTTTTTTTTTTTTTTTTTTTTTTTTTTTTTTTTTTGACCATGTGAATTGTAAACCTAAAAAATATTTCTTTCGCAAAATAAAATTTAAAAAAATAAATAAAATAAAACAGAAAAGAAAAACATTACTTAATGAATTCCACAGTTCATTAACAGTTTAGACGCCTATTGTAGCGTTGGGGTCATTCTTAAAAACGTCAAGCTGTTTGTTTTTTGTGTAAAGCACCCCCCATCCCATTTAAATGTTCTTTAGAAACTCTAATTTCGGTCAATAAAATTATTTCCTTCAACAGAGGGTTTAATGACTAACAACACATATAGCTCCATTGTTAGCTGGCTAGGATAATTTTGACAACTCTTATTTCTGTTGTTACTATTAATTTTAAAATAGCTGCCTAAACAATTCATTTTAAAAATTACGTTTTAATTCCGTCCCACCCCAAAACGGTGACATCATGTTTAAACGACCCCCCCCCCCTTACACTAGTAGCCTATAATTATCATAGGCACCCTTCACGCCCACCTAATTGTAATACAAACTAACAATCAACCCATTAACTTATCCTGCTGTAGCCTATAGCCTATAAAAAAACAACTCAACATTGTTTTATAATCTCTACCCAAATAGTTTGGTAAACTTTCCCTAACTCATATAGGCCTAGCCCTAGCCTTTAGGCCGTCAACTCTAGACAATGTTGATATTTTTGAAGTGCATTGTGTTATCCCTTCTTTTATTGGCTAATACTAGACATACGTCTTGGGTAAATATTAACGCGAATCTGATTGGCTTACGCGTGTAAACACACACAAAAACGACGCTCTACTCACCGAAGGAGCACATTGTTCGGGACGGTTTTTTTTTGCTCTGTGTGCTGATCGTGCGCACAAAAACACCACGTGACCCGTGTCGTCTGCGACACAATGTGGGGTTATAATCTCAGATGATTGCTACTTACAAGTCTAAGGGGGTTTCACCGTAGTATCAAGCCATCAGAAGGGGTCAGGGTTAACCCCTGTGTTTACCGCTGTTGTTTGCGAGGCTGTCAGACAGCAAGGGCAGCAAGCGATGAGCTGTCACGGTATTTTTACAGCGCTGTTTCAGGAGGCGTGTTTGCCCTGTGGGTGAGTTGTCAATAAGTTCAAAGGTCAATTTTCGCATGGCTTTTTTGTTTTTTAACTTTACGCGTTACATTTAAGCCAAGTTTGTTTAGTAACCACCGCTGATTTTTATTTTATTTCAAATATAGATTATCCCCAATGGCCTGTAGGTTTTAATTTCCAAGGCAATAAAATTTGGCAAGAAAACAGCTCACATCACTATGATTAACATTATAAACCTAGTTGGCTATAATTTCAGCCCGTCATTTTTTAACTACTGACCCAGCACCTACTTATGTTAGATTTACATTATAAAGAAGTTCACACTGAAATTGAAGCAAAGAACAGGCTATGTTTCTTATTAGGTCTGTGTTGGGTTAATTAGTCCTTCGCTAATCTGTTCCGAGACTAACAGGGAAGTATTATATAACCAAGATTAATTTCCTGTTGCACGGACCCCACTCGTGTTAACAAAACCCATATTGTATGTGAAGGTTCCCCTGGGCCGTAGTTAACCCTAATCCAAACAAAGCATGGAGTATGATTAATGAGTAGGCCAACATTTCACTTTGAAAACTACCAGACCAGGAATTGAAAAAAGGACCCCCCCCCCTTTTTCCTTCCCCCCCCCCCCCCCTCTAAACCATGAATGTTATATATAATCACCCCCGTTGTACGTGTTGACCTAATTTAAGAAGTTAACAGCTGTAATGACGTGGGCGGAATGTCATAGCCGCATCAATAAAACTTGGACTGGATAGTTATTTACATAAGCCCGGCTCAAAATTAGTAGCAGTCTAACTATCACAAAGAAGATCTAAATATATACTTTGAGTAACGGATTAATGAGGGTTAGACAACGAATGTTACATAGCGCACACCTGGTTATTGCATGTCCTATTCTGTTCTATTTATGGGATACAATTAGATAATGATGCCGTCCATTTGTTGGATAGTGTGGCCGTCTAGTTGCCCTGTTCATTATATGTATGACCGTCCATTGATTTGTTCATTATGTGTGACCGTCCAATGACCAATTCATCATGTTTGACCGTCCTTTCCGATACCTATTTAAACAATGTGCTAAATACTGCGGCCAATAGTGTGTGGCCGTCCAATAGTGTTTGGCCGTCCAATAGTGTGTGGCCGTCCAAAAGTGTGCGGCCGTCCACAAGTGTGTGGGGGGCTTTTACTGTATGGCCGTCCAATAGTGCGTGGCCGTCCACTGTGTGGCTCCTGTAGGCTGCTTGCTATAACTAGTATTGCCTTCTTCTTGTCCACTGAAAATTACGTAGTGTATCCACTGGTGTTTTTGTAGTACGTTCTCCTGATAAGTTAGTTGTTCCCTTTTTATTTCTGTGTAATGTTTACCCATATTGATTACTCCCTGGGATAAAATAACTATGAATTTGTAAACTTGGTATCAAAATGTGTTTTTTGTCATCACATGATGGGATAAAACAACAGGACACTACCAAACCTTCCTTCTAGTCTTAGTTGTTTCTTTGTTGTTTTTTTTTTTGTTTTTACTTATGCATAGTGTTGTATTGACAGTTTTGGCTGTAGAAAACTTGGCTCGTGCTGAGTGTAGGTTAATATTTTGTACTGCTGGCTACGTTGTCAGGGGTTGGCGGCACTGTGGCGATGTATTCGAGCTGACAGCCTATGTTATTTGATTAGGTTCAGTGAAAAGTACATGGTGTTATGGTGTTTTGTTTCAAATGTATTTATAAGTTCAATCTTTATTTTTGATGTTTGAAATGGACTGTTTGTAAAGTAATGTTACTGTTATATTTTTTCAGGGCATGTAGAATGGGGGCGGAGGAATCCAGGAACGGCAACTATGGGTTGATGTGTGCCAGTGCTGTAGTTGCCAACTTGAACAAGCAGGTTCAGAGTGCTCGCCCCTGGTCTCTGCTGCACCAGTGTTCGCTGGATCAGTGGAACAATGGACATGGAGGTGAGGAGGGGTGGTGGTGGTGCAGGTGGACGTGTGGGTGAATGTGGGGATGGTGTTGTGGGTGGATGTAACAGGTCGTGTGGGCAGGTTTGGTCTTGTGGGTGTAACAGGTCGTGTGGATGTAGCTGGGCATGTGGGTGGATGTCAATGGGTGAATGTAACAGGTCGTTGTGGGTGGATGTCAATGGGTGGATGTCAATGGGTGGATGTAACAGGTCGTTGTGGGTGGATGTCAATGGGTGGATGTAACAGGTCGTTGTGGGTGGATGTCAATGGGTGGATGTAACAGGTCGTTGTGGGTGGATGTCAATGGGTGGATGTCAATGGGTGGATGTAACAGGTCGTTGTGGGTGGATGTCAATGGGTGGATGTAACAGGTCGTTGTGGGTGGATGTCAATGGGTGGATGTCAATGGGTGGATGTAACAGGTCGTTGTGGGTGGATGTGGGCATGTGGATGTTACAAATTGACCAAGGTAGTCACTACCTTAGATGTGACTTTGGGTATCGACTTGGTCAAGAATTTATGCTACACTTTATAAAAATTAAAATATTTTTCTGAAGCCATTTTTTTATGAAAAATATTTTCCATTCTCCCAGTGGCTGCAGCCTTCTCAGAAACGACCTTGACCTGCAATGGTGTTGTTTTCAAGGACTGCAGCCCGTCCTTCTGTATCAACAGGCAGGGGCTGCTGAACGTCAACAAATCAGAGCCCTTCTTCAGCTTCAGGAGGAAGAGCAAGTTCACCAAGATGGCCGAGCACTTTGAGTACAACCACATCCCAGCCCACCTCTCCTCCATCCAGAACTTCCACGTCAACAGCGTCCTCTGCTGCCAGGGTCAGACGGTCATCCTCCATCTTGTCCGCAACCTCATGACCCAGTTTGGGCTCATAGATTTGAAAGCCAACAAATTTCTGGGCATCTTCGGTAACCAGAGGGTGGAGTTTGTCAACGAGGCCCTGAGGGGGGAGATCTCACCGGATGGATCCCTGTGTCTGATCAAAATGCCGACAACTCGTATTGGCGCCACAGGTTTTGTTTTCCAGCTGTACAAGCTGAGCACTAAAGAGCTGCTGTCTGAGATCAGCGTTGCCTACAACCACGCCCTGTTTGTCTTCGACCCCAGATTCAGCACCTCCAGAATAGCCGTGACCAGTTTCAGTGAAAACGAGGACAATAGCTTAAGCCTGATTCGGATGCCGAGTTGGGAGGTCATGACGACCAATTCCAGAGTGGATGACTTCAACTCTAGTCTAAACCCTAACCTGAAGGACTTGAAGTACTCCAGGGACGGCCATCTTATCTTTGCTGTCATGATCACCAGCGGCTGCCATTGTAAGGAGAAAAAGGCCAGGAAGTGCCAGCCAATTGATGTCAGTATCTACGTGTTTGACGGGGACTCGGCCCAGACCCTCCACTGTATACAGTACCACCGCTACGCCTGTGGCCAGCACTCTTGCCTAGTCAACTACATGCCTGTTTTATCCGAATGCGGCAGCCGTATGGCCATCGTCCTTAACGATTTAGAAACCCCCATAGACCACGTACAGATCTACAAGCTCCCAGTGCGAGGGAGTCTCCAGAACAGGTGTCGCGTGCGTATACTCAACACGTTCCCGCCTGAGACAATCAAGCACCTGCCACTGCCCCGCAAGCTGATCAGCTACCTGGGATTCCAGCCAGATTACTTATGATGAAGTCTTGCATTAGACTGACACCACTCCGCCTACATGCTCACAACCCCCGTCTTCAGAGCTGCTTCTGGTACCCACGCAGCCAACGCACTTGGTCCTGCTCTGTTTTCAAGGCATCCTGCTGATGATCCTACCCTCACGGGGGTGTGTTTTAATTATACATTGCATAACAGCTTCAGCCGTATATTACCACAGTGTATAATCCGCACGCTAACATGGTTTTGATGGCTATCCTAATGGCCTGAGGTTTGTCGTTATTTAACGTGTGATGGCCATGCTTATGGCCTAAGGTTTGTCGTTGTTCAAAGTATGTCTTTCAACTGTTGATGTTACATGCTAATACATTGAAAAGCTCATCAGCTCATTATCACTCCTCCTCCTAATTCTCTGACAACAGACAAAAGTTGTCTGCCTTGATGTGTATTGTATTGCTGGGGTTTTGTTGTTGCTAGGAGACTTGTGGCTTACGTCAAGCCAGTAAACGAGGCGGCCAGCTGTACCTTCAGCCATGTCGTTGTTGTCAAATAATTGTTGCTTGCTCATGTTATTGCCATCATTGAGACAATATAGAGATACTGTGTTACTTCAAGTCTTGCCAAGAGTTTACCTTTGATTTCATCATCTTTTTGTAAATAACAATTCTAACTTGAATTGCTAAAGTTCACATTTTTTTCTGGATCAAAAACAAGCAATCAGTAATGTTTATAATCTCTAATTAAATATAATTTTCAGACTTAAAATGGAATTATAATCAATTTGGAAATCTTAATTTAACTTAAAATATTAAATTCATAATTCAATTTATTTATTGTTTTGGCAAATCTAACATTCAAATGAAAGAAAAGATTTAAATTACTATTTGTTTTGCAAGCAATCTTTTGAAAGATATTTTTCCTAATTGATATTTGTACATGTAATTTCTATCTACTTATGTTGTGGAATTACACTAATTTTATATATTTAAAAAATGTGTATTCAAACCAAATATTCATGTAACATTATAACTAGTGTGTTGCAATAGTAGGTTAACATATTCAGTATTAGAAATGTTCATATATTGTGTATCGCCCACTTTATTTTATTTATTCTTCACTGGAAACTATTACATTCATTGAAAGATTAAGGAATTTTTGTTTTAAAGTTTGGTTCATCTATTTTACTACAGCTTGTAAGCTTTTTCATTTTATCCTACTCAGTGCCATAAAAGCAGAATTACTATTTTTGAATAATATACTTTCATATATCTTTAATATCGAGTACTAAAAACCTATTCAACTTTAAGAAAATGAACAGTTTAATTGTGTTTGTATTTATTAGGAGCTGGACATATTTAAAACAAAAATCTATCAGAAATTTTTAATGAAATCTCGTGTAAAAAAAAATTTCATTCAATAAAGTTCAAATTGTGCTATAAGGAGCTTATTGTTTTTACTTTTTCTTTTTATATTTATTTACTTTAATATTATGAATGACAAGATTTACTGTCAAGAAAAAAATGAAAGCAAGCTGGGCTTGTTAATGTGGTCTGCTTATCAACTAAGCTAATTATTAATTTGTAGATTGAGTGTCCTAGCTACTAATGTTATTATATTTGTTTCATATAATTTTTAAGGTAGTGGAACTGGTGCTTCCAATTGTAGGACAGGACATTTGTTTAACTTCTTTAATTCTTTGGTTGCTAAAAAAAACTGCTGATTGATGCCTAATCTGGGCTGTTTTTTTTTTTTGGTTTTTTTTTTTGTTTTTTTTTTTTCATGTTTTGTGCTGCCCAATCTGGACTGTCTTTGTTAATATTTGGTGATGATTTGTTTCATTCCTGCTGAAAAACATTTGTTTTAGACTGAGGCAATAGAGCTTACAAAATATTTTGTTTTGTTTAGAAAACAAAATTACAAAATAGCTATTAACTATTAAGTTTAGTTTTTTTTTATACAATTTAAAAAAAAAATTAAGAATAATTTTTTTTAATGCAGAATTTTTTAGTATTGCATCATGAACATTAAATTTATAATAAGTCATTTGTTTAGAAAACATTTGTATGATTAGAATAATTAGATTGATTAAATCAAACTCATTTTTAAAAATTTAAAAAAAAAAGTAATCTCAGACGTATAAGCCTCTGCTGTGTAATGACTCTATAACCTATATGCTAGAATTATAGTTCTAATAAAGATCCTTTCTTTCTTTCTTTTTTTTCTGCTTGCAGAAATTCAGCAGGTCTGATTAAAACTTTTTTAAGTGTGTCTGCACAAGGTCTAACCTTAATCCAGTTCCCTAATTGTGACAATTCAAGCAATACTGACAGACAAAATTTTGTCTCCTCTAGTTTGACTTTGATGCTTTGTTTTATGAGCTAATAATTTCAGTGCATTGGAATGGCTGATATTGGCCATTACACATTGAAGTTTAGCTTAGGTCTTTCAATGCATTTGAATGGCTGATATGATATTGGTCATTACACTTTTAGCTTAGTTCTAGTGTTGATCTAACAGTCACACTGGGTGTGTTACTGCCACAAGTTTTCCTGTTTTTTTTTGTAGGATTTGGTAGTACTTGCACAAAAAAGGGTACTGGTCTGTCTAGAAAGAAAGCATCTATGAGCTGGTTTTATGATATATTTTTTTGGAGTCTATTTCACTATATGTAGTACTTCATGTTGTAATTTAAGGACACACTTAAAAAATTAGAATTCATGTATGAGTAATGTAATATAACATATCCATAATGTTACATAGCTTGTTAGCCATTAATCTCATAATTCATACCTTAATAAAAAACAACCTGTTGGCTGTTGCATTACTGCCTATCATTATCTCCCCAGTGACTTAATCCAGACAGGCTCATTCATAATGACACATTATTCATCTGTTTTAATTGCTAATAATCTTTGAATGTTTACTGGATAATACAAAGGTATTTCAAAGTTCTCTCATGAAACAAATATGTCTATAAGTTAAAAAAAAAAATGGATTTATTATAAATTATTCCTGAAATAATTGTTTCAAATATTTTAATGAAAACCTTGCAAATTGTGCATATTTGCATTACATGTATTAGGATCAATGTCTATACTGAGTCTTTGTATGTTTGTTAATTATCTTGTTGTAAGCCACCTATCCCATGTTTGTGAGCAACACATCCCATGTTTGTGAGCAACCTATCCCATTTTATACCAAGGTAGTCAAACTAGAGGCTATTCTCACACATTTTTTGTGTAAAGGTGTCTAATAACACATTGTGTTGTGTAAAAGCATCTGCTAACCCATTAATATTGTCAATGTTAGCTACCACAGTGGTTGCCATAAGGTCTGAAAATTGTCAATCAGTGATATATTTATATCTTTTTTCAAACTGCAATCACTATCATATTTAAATCTTTTTGCAGATTGCAAGCCCTATGGGAAATTTTGGAAACAGTTTAGCCCAGGGGTCGGCAACCTTTTGAAGCGGAAGAGCCAAAAGTTACAATTTTCAAAATTTCCCCGATTTTAAAGAGCCTCTAATATATTTTTAATTTCAAATATTTTATTTTTTTATTAAGATTATTAGTATTTGTGCAAGGAGCTGAAGAGCCGCATCTTGATATCAAAAGAGCCGACCCCTGGTTTAGCCTTGTTAAAATTTGTAGGAATAAAACGTTTTTATTATGGGCTGTCTAAACCAATTATCAAAAATATGTTTTGGTTCAAAGAACTAATTTTTGAATATTCATGATAATCATGGTGCGTAAATCATAAATATGAAAGAAAGAAAAAGGCTAGCCACAAAAGTGAAGAAAGTTTGACTTTCAAAACTTTGTTTAATAGTAATAAATTTTGTGTTAAAACACATCTTACCATAGTTTTTAAGACAGCAATTGTTTTAAAGAATATTTAGCAGTTTGTTGAACTCTGGTTGTGCCCCCTTTAGTTATTTCCCTTTGTGCAAAGAATTTTTGGCAATTGTGGTTAAAAAACAAATCTTTTCTTCATACAGAACTGTGTATATTTTTAATGCATGACTGACATTCAAGTTTATTTTAAATTAGTATGGCATTTTTCTTATCATGAATGATCACCCGTTTTTTAACTTAACCTTGTTAGTTTTTAGTACCATTCCATTCATTAATTTGAAATACTAGCTTGTGATTTTAAAATAATTCAAACAAATGAAGTAATGTTTGTTTCAGCTGTCTCTAAAGCTGTTAATCTGGTGGTATGTGCTTGAGAAATGTACCTTTTCTTCTTTCCCCCCCCCCCCCCCCCCCCCCCCAACTTCCATGAAATACTCATGTATTAAAGGGAAATAACTGCAGGTTAAAAAATCTGTCAATCAAAAAATGTGTGAATAACTCAAAGAGCAATAATTCCGGTTGTTGATCAATCCCAAACAAAAAAAATATTATTTGGCCACACAAGGTTATAAAAAATATTTGAAGATCATCAAATAATTTTACTGCTTGTAAATATCAAATTAAACTTGATTTGTTTCCTACACAAAACTTGATAGTCACAATGTTTTCCATCATACTATGAATGTTTTCTATGTTTCAGCTGTTGTAGTTGCTCAATTTTCTGTCAGCTTAAAGGTGATGAAGGTTGTGCTAAGTTTGAGAGCAATACTTTTTTTAACAAGAAAACCTACCCTACTTATCTCTCTGCACAAGTTTTTCATATTTTACAAAATTGTTTGAGAATAATTAAATTTACTCCTTGGATTGTTAGATAATTGAAATCAATTTTTTTCAGACTTGGGTTTATGATATAACTGGGCATTGACTTACTTGAGATGTAGGGTTGGTAACTGGGACTGTTGATTGTTTTATATTCTATTGTCATGACCATATGTGGCTGGTTAAACAAACTGTTTCAGTTTTGTAGTGCATGGCCCTCCATTTGGATCAGTTGTACAGGTATGTTATGTAGATCTGATGAACAGATTGGTTTAAAACTTTTATGATCAAGTCTAAAACAAGGTCCAACACTGGAGGTGCCAATGTCACTGTGAAGATTCAATAAAGAGATAGTAATCATTGAACCTTTGTTTCTTTTTGCTACCAAATGGTTGTTGTGGTCTTGAATGAAAGAATAAAATTACTGAAATGAATTCCAGAAACAATATGCTAAACAATACAAAAAGGTGGGACGGTGTAGTCTTATGGGGAAAGTAAAAGTGGCTTTCATATGCTGATGTAAAGAAACATGAACTCTACTTCATTTGCCCAATAGATACTAAAGCCACCAGAGCAGCTTCAGCAACCAAATTAAATAAGTTTTTTACTTAAGTAATGAGTTACAAATCCTGTTAACATGTGCAGAAGAGAAATGATGAGCTACTAAGATGATAGAACAGTTATTACAATATTCAAAAGATTGGTAACATCTACAGTAGGTGTTGTAATTTGTTGTGTCTAGAGGTGATATTTTATTATTTAAAAAATGTCCACAGTACAAAAGTTTTTTTTAAACAAGTTTTATTTCTTAAGGGATTTAGAACAATGGAATAAATAAAATGACATACATATGAATTCTACCATGAAATTAAGTTTGAGTCAAACTTACATAATACAATGGTAGGTTACAAGAGATGCTTTGGAAGGTGATTGACATAAAAATGAAAGCCACAATAATCTTCTACAACAACTTTTGGATCTGATCCACTCTAAAAGATGCATAAAGCAATTGTTTGAAGGTGTGTGAGAAAAAAGGATAAAACAATTTCTAAAATCATGACTTTGTATACATACATTACATTTCTTCATAACATATTTTATTCAGTTTAAAAAAAAAAATCACAAAACTGCCCACTTGTGTTCAAATATAAAATTAGGTATTAAAATTAAAACACTAGACTAAAATCCAAACAGAAAGTATACTTAAAAGATTGCAATTTTTAGTGAAAATATTTTACTTATGCCTTCAGTTAAAAAATTATGGACATATATCTCTGTTTACAATGCCACAGGAAATGTTTCTGTGACATTTTTATCAACAACTTGTTTAGAAACATTTAATCATGGCACACACATGGGAGGGAGGGACTATCTTGGTGGTCTTGGCCACCTACCTGGTGGTCCATCAAACAGAGGTCTGGGTGGACCTTGAGGTCCACGAGGGCCAAACCTAGGACGGTTTTGATTCCAGGGTCCTGGGCCCCTTGGTCCACGGGGTGGGCCCCCCATGGGCCCTCTTGGTGGACCACCCATGGGTCCCCTAGGTGGTCCACCTAAAGGTCCACCATGTGGAGGTCCTCTAGGGCCCATTGGACCCCTAGGTGGCCTAGGACCTAATCCAGGTGGTGGTGGTCCAGGACCTAACATTCCTGGGCCACCTAATGGTGGCGGTGGGCCATTTGGAGGGCCAGGAAATCTTCCCATCAGTCCAGGCGGACCTCTGGGTCTAAAGTTGGGTCCTTTCATGGGACCTCCGTCACCATCTGGGGTGGGGAACAGTCCAGGTTTACCTGGGCCACCCCGTGACTGGTTATTGGAATTATTTTTGTCTACTGAGCCAGGCTCTTCAGATTTTATAAGGGGTTTGGGAGATGACCGTTTACTGGATTCATCATCACTGCCCTTGTTGGCAGCACTTTGTTCAGACTTTCTTTTGTTGTCATTACCCTTGGGATGGGCAACTTCATTTCCACTTGGGGATGGATGTCTAAATGGTGGCTGTCCAGGAAAGGAACCTCTCTGTCTGAACTGGCCGGCTCCAGGTCCTTGCAGTCCAGGAATCAATGGTCTTGGACCCGGACCTTGACCAAGCAGACCATCTCCACTGTTGGCCATGGGCTTTGTGTCTGTGCTTCCTGAAGGAGCAAAGTCTTTTAGATTACTCAGCAATGGTGGTGGGGGGCGTGAGAAATTCATATCAAATGGTGAGTTGGACTTGCTCCCCTGTGAGCCACCAGACCGGCCTGAGGAAAAGGGGGGTGGACCTGGAAACCCTGGGGGTGGCTGGCTAAACAAATTCTGACCTGATCTCTCGGAGCCTGCTTCTTGCTTGATAAGATCTGAGGCTGCACCATCTTCTTCTCCAGGTTGATCCCATTTTGATTTCCGTCGCCGTTGTCTATCAGACTTTTGACCTGCGTCAGATCCATAATCAGGTCTATCAGAGTCGTAATTCTGATTGTTCCATGAACCACTGTCATGTCCTGAGTCTCTGTGCCCATCACGGCGATCATTACTTCCATAGTTCCCCCTATCACTTTTATTTCTACTGTATCCATAGTTGGATGAATCCCTGTTGCGGTCCCGTTCTCTGTCTTTGTCTCTAGAGTCAGGCCTACTGTTGTAAGAAGAATCTCTCCCTCCTCTTTTGTCAGAGTCCCTGCCCTCTCTCTGCCAATCTGGCTGCCAGGATTTTTCCTGCTGCCACTGTTTGGCCTGGGCCTTCTGGTTTTCCTCCTGCCAGTTGGCTACCTGCTGCGCCACCTGCGCTTGCTGTTGCTGGAGCGTGGCTTGCAGGTGTGCTGAGTGAGACTGCTCTGCTGCTTGTTGCCACGCGTGACGATTATGTTCCTGTTGTAGAGCTTCATACCCAGGAGGTGCTGCTCCATACAGACTTTGCCCCGTGGCCTGTGTTATCAAATGATAAGGACTTCCAGCCTGAAGTTTGGACGGGTCAACCAGAACCTGACCTTGTGCAGCAGCAGCTGCGGCCGCGGCGTGAGCTTGAGCCAGCTGGACCTGGGCCAGTTGAGCATGTGCATGAGCCACCGCATGTTCTTGTCCATGTTTGGCAGCGAGACCCAGCCCTGCTAGCTCAGAGGGTTGGGCGCCAGCCATGCCGGAGGGAAGGAAAGCCAGTTGCACCCCAGGAGGTAGGGGAGGAGCACCCAACAAACCAGGCTGGAAGGCTGCAGCATGGGAGGCTATAAGACCCGCCGGGTAACCTGCAGGTAAATTAGCAGGAGGCCACTGTGATGTGGGCACTGTTGGGGACACCTCCTCTTTGATTTTGTTGGCATCCCAAGCCTTCCTAGCACTGATACCAGCTTGCTGAGTGGATGTAGGCTGACGGTCATCCTCTTCATACTGTTGTTTGAGAAGGTCTAAAGCACTGCCAGGATCTGCTTTATTGCGTTTGGTTGGTGGCTCGTCTTGGTCAGGATACCAGTGTTCTCTTTTGCCTAGAGAGTCTGTAGATCCAGATCGTCCATAGTTTTGTGAGCCATAACTTCCAAATGGTTGTCTCTGATCCTATTTGGAAAAACATAATTGTGATATTGACGTATGCTGAATAAGTAATTACTTATTTCATTTGTTATATCCAAACACTTATGCATATATTATTTACATTTCAAGTAATATTTGGTTTAAGTTAGAAACTTAAAAATTAAACTTCATCAAATAACACTTTCAAAAACATTAATGAATGTTATGAGGGAAAAAAGGTTATAGCCTACCGATTTCTTATTTCCTTCAAATCTGCCTTGTTGACTATCTTGTCTAGGCTTTGACTTGCCTTCCTGGTTATACCTGCACAAACAAGTGAGAATTTTAATTTTCTTTTAAGATGTATATAAAAGAGTTAGCATGACTTAAAACACTTTTTTAAAATAGAATGGACCTGTATCAATTTAAAGATGATCCTTATTAAAAAAAAAAGAATTTTCAATTTTAGTTGGAAAGACATTTTTGTAATTAGCAATCCAATATTTGTTTTATTATGTAGTGCTATTTAAATATATTTATTAATTTAGTATGAGGCAAATAGGCCTAATCTCATGAGTCTTGTATGAATACAAGACTTAATACCAGGCCTAACATTACAAATAACAAACCAAAACATACAAATCAAGTAATCTTAAGAGATCATTGTAAGAACTATATTTAGCTGTATTCCTATAATTCTCAATAAACTACCTGAAGTTTTTATTTTATAGACAATTCCTAATTGGTTTATTTCTGTAAAATGAGATGAAAAAATAGGGTCTGTGAAGAAATAAATAGAGCAGGTAACTTACTGTCTGACAAGCTGCTGAACCACATCTTTCTGCAACTCAATGAAGTCTATCCTGTCAAATAAATTATCTCTATCTTCTGGCAGGGAGAAATTGGCTTTCATCTCCAGCACTGCTGACTCTGGTACCACTTTACCTACACAATGTAAGGGTTAACATTAGGATGGTACCACTTTACCTAGACAATGTAAGGGTTAACATTAGGATGGTACCACTTTACCTAGACAATGTAAGGGTTAACATTAGGATGGTACCACTTTACCTAGACAATGTAAGGGTTAACATTAGGATGGTACCACTTTACCTAGACAATTTAGGAGCTTACATTAGTATGGTACCACTTTACCTAGACAATTTAGGGGCTAACATTAGGATGGTACCACTTTACCTAGACAATTTAGGAGCTTACATTAGTATGGTACCACTTTACCTGGACAATTTAGGAGCTAACATTAGGATGGTACCACTTTACCTAGACAATTTAGGGGATAACATTAGGATGGTACCACTTTACCTAGACAATTTAGGGGCTAACATTAGGATGGTACCACTTTACCTAGACAATTTATGGGCTAACATTAGTATGGTACCACTTTACCTAAACAATTTAGGGGCTAACATTAGTATGGCATCAATCCATCTCACTTTAAACATTTTTGAAAATTTTAGATCAGTATAAAAACTGTGGCAACAACTTATGGAACAACAAAATATAATGAGGCTATCTAAGTCTATTGTATCTATTTGTCAAGCATACCATCTTCCTGGGTTCTTTTCTTTGATCTACGTTCAAGTTCTGAATCTGTTGGCTGAATCACAGCAGCAATTCTGTAGAAGCCAGTAAAATTTTTCATTTTCCTCCTTCGTGCTGAGCCATACACATTGGTTTGATCAAGAATATAGTTCCTTCTTCTTTTAGCAGCTGAAAAGTTGGACATAAAAGAATAGTAGACAAGAATTATAACACACACGGTGAAAACAACTGATCAAATCTAACTCATTATCTTGAAGAATAGGACAACCTCAAGCTGAAGGAGTTGAAGAAAACAAACCTGTATGATGGCGACAATTTGTTCTACATCATTAAATTAATTAAAACATTAATTTTCTGAATTTGTAAACATTTTTTTCTTCTACCAATTGTGTCATTTCATTTCCATTGTGTATCCATTTAACTTTTAGGTGTTTAAATATGAGAATAAAGAATATTTTAATTATTTCATTTTGAATGTTGAGTTCTTCATATGCATCCATTTCTATTTATCATTATATTATTGAGAGATTAAAGTTTAGTAATATAATTATCGTATATAATTATTGTATAGATATATACTTGAATATTGAAAAATACATTTTCTCCAACTCTATTTTATCATGATTTTTTTAATGTCTTGTACTGTCATATCAGAATGCGGTGTTTTTCAGTGGTTGGAAAGTGTTGAAATATATAATGTATAGCCCAAGTCCTAATATTACCGACATCATGCTTGTTCCACTAACAGCTAATGGTTAAAGATAGAGATAAGTGAAAACTCACCCATGGTGAAGAACTTGTTCAGACATTTGGTAGCTTTATCAATGAGCACCTCCCAACGACCTGCATAGTTCCTCTTTCTGGGGAGCCCCATGACCCTCATCTTGTCAATAAGGGTATCAGTGCCAATGATGTTGTATCTTTTCTCAGGATGTGTTTTCTGCATGTTGATGGCCCAGGTGGTTTTCCCAGCACCAGGAAGTCCAACAATAATGATCATCTGGAAATACACCCACATTTACATTTAGTCTCACTTCATTCATTAGATCAAAATTTGTTAAGGAAGAAAGAAAAAAAAGAATAAAATAAGCAGTAATTAAGAAAACAAATGAAGTATAAGAACAAAACAGTTACCATTAAATAAAATTTTAAAACGAGTAAAAAAAAAATTTAAAAAAAAAAGTCATGTCACTAATGACAACACTGATGTTAAAAAAACTTGATCATGCGATTTTTTAATAAAAAGTCTATCAATATTCAACACTAGAGACGAGGCATGTCAACTTTTTATGGTCAATTTATTCTCCCAGCCTAACTTCCTCACAGGGATTGTAAGCAGCAAAGTGCAGAAGTACCGGTAAACAATACACAAGTGCAATCATTTTGTTTTAAGCTTCAGAAAAGAAGATAGTCAAAGATGGATGACCAATCTAATAAACAGATGTTATTTGGAACAAGTAAACTATAAACATTCTAATCAATCTGTAACAACCAAAACCAACAATAAAACAGGGAGCTTCAAGTGTATGTAACTTATAAACTGCTGCTGTGTGTTTACTGGCTTATAATTAACCAAACATTAAAGGCAATTTTAGAGATTCACCCAATGATAATTGGTTTTATATGTACCTTAATCACTTTTTAAAAACAAAAACACTAAACTTAGGGCATTGTTAGAGCAGAGAGACAAAGTTTTTGCATTAAAAAATTTGAGGACAATTATGCTGGCATTATCATCTCAAGTGTATGTCAACTTAGCTTTAATTATAGATCTGTTTTTTACAACTGATTCTAGAGTAGGGTATTTAGAAATAGTTTGACTATATTTAAGTATAGACTATTTCAGAGGCATGACTGGCATAAATAGTTTTTCTATTGGTTCAAAAAGGAACTGCTTGATCAACAGAAATAAATTTATAATTAAAAAAAAATATTAGATATATTTTTAAAAAAAGATATATTTCTTCAACTTGTAATAACTTTTTAAATTAGTAGGCAACCAAAAACTTTTGGGGGATAAAAAATACTTCAGAGAATGGAAAGCTCAATAGTTAATATATATAAATAAAATGGAAAATACAGCTGATAGCACATAGAGCTGGCTGTAATACTACAGAAGGTATACTTTAAAAGATGGATTTAATAGAAAAGAAATGCAGTGAAAAGACTAATGCCAATATAGAAAAGGGAGTTAAGAACACAAATGACTGTAGGTGAGAGTTGTGTTATGGTTTGTGCTTTAAACTAGTGCAGTCAGGTTCACAACTATGATAAGCATATATAAGCAAGGAGTTTTTTAGTTAGCATTAACAATTGAAGCTTGACTCAGTGCTTGACTTCTCATTTGAATAAAAGTTGTATAAGAGTTTGTCTAGTTCTGATAATAATAGCTATATGGAAGTATAATACAAAATTGTATAAAGATAATTGTATCAAACTAAAAAAAAAAAATTAAAAGAAAAGAAAATTCTAAGGATCAGAATTTTTTTTTTGTCTTCTTTCATAATTAGTTGGCAATGTTTGAGATTTTGCTATTTAAGGGGCTTCTTATCGATACAGGTTGTCTTAAAGAAAATAGCATCTATATGAAAGTAGGTATATTATGTTTATTGTTCCATTTTAATCTGAACAGAAGACTGACACTATTTCTAGTAATTATTTCAACAGAGGGTTTCTATCAAACAGGTCTCTTGAAGACTGTTAAATCCTGGTGGTATTTTTACAACAGTAAAACAACAAGCATGCAAATTGAAATGGACAATAAATAATGTACCACTGGCATTTACTGTTGCATCAGATTCGTTGCTTTAAAAAGTGTTAGTTTCTACACAAGACTAGTAATTTAAAAAAAAAAACATAAGTTCAAACATGTTAACTCAGTGGTCAACAGTTGAATGCTTCAGATTTAATCCAAGCTTCCAGCTGAATAATAATATAGATATATCTGGTTATAATCTAAGTGTTACTTATTAAAACCAATTCATAACCTTTTTTATAAAAGAGCTTATACATTTTAAATTTAAAAAGTATATCCCTACTCAAACTTTTCAGTATAGATTTTCCCTAACAGATGCAGTTGTTTGAAGTGTTACCATGCACACATTTTCTTTTAAGTTGACAGAAATGGGAAACAAATGTTTTGAAGTTTGTGAGAAAATGGTCACTATTTAACAGATGAAGATTAAACAAGGTAAAGCATGCATGCATTGAGGATAATGCTTGTGAATGTTTCTAACTTAACTTTTCTATTCTTAAAAACAAACCAAAACAAAAAATTCCAGAGTGAAAAGAGAATCAAACAGGTAAAAAGTCTGGAACATAAAATAATGAAGTGACGCTGTATATTTTGAGGGGTTAGTCGCTGGGGTTTATCTCAAACGATAAAAAACACAAATGATTAATACTAAGCCACATAAACAAGATGGAAGCCTTCAACAAGGGAGAAAATAGGGAGACAGATCAATATTTTAAATCAAGGGCTTTATATATACTGAGCTTTATATATGCTGGTGGATATATGATAATAAAAAGGTTTATCTATGCCAGTGTTGTAAAGAGCTATACCAATGTAAGGTGTAAAGTCAATAGTAACACAAAAACAGGGGATAGATATGTGGGCCACACAGTTTAGAGAAAGTAATATAAGAATGAATAGCTCAAGACTAAAGAAGAGCCATATTTATAAAAGATATAATAATTCTTTTTAGTTATGGGATGCACCTATAATTTGTCAACACTGTTTTATGCCTTCCTACAGCAGTAGAAAGATTATTTGAAAGTTGTCATTAAATTGAGAGAACCTGAATGTGATTGTTTTGTTTACACTGCTTAACTCCCACTCCCTTATTAAAACCAACAAACTTATTTTTTTTTTTAAATGGTATGTACAACCACCTATGGCAATGGTTATTGTTTTAAATGTTTTGTTTTTTTTTAAAAGAAATTAATTTGAGAAACTCTTTCAGAGAGTTTACTTGATATCAAGAGGACAGTAGAAAAAAAATGTTTTTAAAGTGAGTAATATTTACTGTAATGGGATTTTTGTGTTCAATTACTCTTCAACTCTATTTGCTTCAAATCTCCTATTAGTAAATAATGTTAAGATTAAATGTTGCCTTTCATGAAAGAAGCAGACCCTGTAAATAAAAGCTTCAGTAGAACCCCTAAAATCTCGGTAAAATTAATATTGTGCAAATCATACTGATAAGTAAATTAGATAGGGAAAAGTAAGGGTATATTGATGGTAGAATAACAGATATTTTTATTAAGATTTATAGTTTCATTTATTTTATAATTTATCATACACATTTATTTGGTTTAAATTACAACAATTTGCATTTTTTTAAAGGAAAATTTACTTAGTAAAGAGTTAATAAAGTAAATATGTTAAGTGAATGTTTGCATACATCAAACACAAATAAACAAATATTTGGTACACAACTCAAGCCATGGTAGCTGTCCTGGATTCATTGGAATCATCACAAGTGTTACAACAATCAACATCTGTGAATGTTTATTTCTTGAAGATCACTATCTAATAGGTCACATACAAGACAATGACTAAAATTATGCACATAGATTGCTGTATCAAGACAGAATTTCTATAAGTATCTACCAAGGTTTTTATCTGTTACTCTGATACAGTTAACAAAGCTGAATTAGCTTTGTGTAATCCTAATATATCATTTGAGCCAAAACTGAGATTTAAACAATATAATTTAGACAAGGATAACTCTGGGGTATGTAAATATGTATTTACCAAGGTTTCACCAAAATAAAAGAGGTTCTACTGAAGCCTTCTAGCTTTAGGTTAAAATAATTTAATTATTCTAGTATTTTTACACAGCATGAAGATCACTAGAATTTAAGAGAAAGATGTCTATATAATATTTCTATATAATTAAAAAAAAAATGGACAAGAAAAAATTAAGACATATCCTTCAAGAACTGGTTTGGATTACTATTTTATATAAATTGGCACCAAAGTGATAATACTTTGTCTGCTCTTCATTACTAGTGGTGCCTGTAACTTTACCTCACAGTCTGATTTTCTGGCTGGCGGGGTCATACCCCTAACTCTCTCCATCAACTGCAGGTGTCCAATGTATCTGAAGCCCATAGGGGGCGGAAACCAGGCCTCCATCTGCCCAAAGTTCACCTTGAATCTAGATATGATTAGATGAAAGAAGCACAGGCCACATTATGCAATCTTTAGTGATACTGCTCACAATGCACAGCCCAAAGGTAGGCTACCATCTGATCACAGAGGGACATCCAGGATAAAAGGTGTGCAATTTAAATATCAGTGCTGGAGTAATTAAAGGCTTTAATAAAAGACGTCTGCTAATCAGTGTAGTGCTATTCACTACTCAACTACAAACACAATTTTGTAAATTCTAGAAAATAGAAATATCTCAAAGGAAATTTAGCTAGTAAAGAAATTAAATTATTGAAACAACCTCTAAGTTTAAGTGGGGTTGTAATGTTCAAACTGAATGATGCAGTTAACTTTGAATTACTTAATGCATTTTTTTATAAATATAAATAATATAGAGTTTCAGCTTCAACAGTAAATTAATGCATGTAGCAGTATCACATAGTAAGCTGAAAAAAAAGGAACATGTGGGTATAAAAAATGTTTTTATAAAAAAACTAACAAAGCTTTATTGGGACATGAAGAAAATAACTGGCTTTTTAAAAATGAACTGGTTTTTTGTCTTTAGCATGGTAAAATTCTAGTGGTAGAAAAGTAGTTCCCCAACCACAATCAACACCCATGGAAGACATGCATGAACATATTTTTTGAAGTCATGCCAACGACAAGATAATGTTCCATTATATTTGTTATTGGAATGTAAATAACAGAAAACAATTGCAGATTTATGAATCCTGTTGGGCCCATAGAAAAAGAAAGCCAAATTTGCTAACAATGAAAATGAATAATGGTGTATTAGTAGATTCAAGGTAACATTTGAAGATATATCCCTAAAAGTATATAATAACTGATATAATTAATACAATTAAATATGAATTTAGGGTCAACAAAGCGATGGTGTCTAAATATCCAGTAAATACAGAATGTAAAATAATTTTCAGATGGGGGAAAGAGGGCCATTGTTTTTCTTTTATTTATCTTGGAGGTTTCACAAGACATTTTATAATTTTATTTTGTTATTTTGGAAGCCACTTTGTTAAGAAAGTTCATGCATTTGTGTATATCTCACTTGAAGTCTTAAGACTAAATTGTTAACATATAAAGACAGACACTTTGCTTAGGGACAATGTAACATGTTAGGGTTGAATGGAAACACTGCCTTTCTTATCACTGTTGAGTCCCTGTTCTTCAGACAGAAAAATTAACAATAAACATAGATCACAACACAATTCACAGATAAAAAATTGTCAATTTAAAACAGATTTTGTAACAAATAATATAAAATTAATAATCAAATAGGAAAGTGTTCCTTAATAACCCAATGTTTTCTAAGTGATATTAAACAGAATGAGTTGGCTTTGTCTGTAATTAAACAATAGTGTACCTACTTATTAATATAATTTGAAAATCAGTTATTAAAGATTAAACATAATTAACAATATTTAAGTATATAAAGAGAATCTATTATATAAATAAAACTAAGTATCACTAAACTACCTTCAGATATAATTAAGATTCATTTGCAGACATACCATTTGCAGACCATATAAGAGGTAAATGATACCGCTCAGAAGATTTACTTAACTGCTGTGAAATTGGAGCTAAACTATTTAAATAAAGTATTTAAATGTGAATGTTAGTATGCACATAGCAATTTAAAGCAATTTAATCACTTTAAACATATGCAAACATAAACAAGATATGCAAAATTTGAAGAAATACTTTTTAAACATATTCTAAGATGAAAAGCAGCCTTTCTTCCACAAAAATATATATGAAACTTCATTATTTTGAGAATAGAGACAAGAAAAGCAGTATATAGTATTGTAATTCAGTTAAGTAAAAAAAAATGATTACATCAGTAGAGATGAGTGTCCAGGTAAACCACTATATACAAAAATATTAATAGTTTACACTATTAATTATTTTCACCTACACACTAATTCTAATCAAACTTTCAGTATAAATTACTTTTGATAACAAGTTTGTCACAACACAAAAGGATAACTAGAATATTTTGAAATAGTAATCATGTTCTACTAAATTACTATATTGCATTCCATTTATACTCTAAAAATACATCATATGTAACAAGTGGATACATGGGATTTTTCAATAACTATTTCTGTTTACGATTAACAAAGTATTGATGTTAAAAGTGTAACTGTTATTTTTAAAAAACAACATTTCAAGATTTAATGTTTCAATATTTCATTTAAAGAACTCTAGCATAAATTTGATCAATGACTGGTTTTTATTCTTTGTTTACATTTTAAAAATTATGACAATAGCAAATTTAGATGAGTTAAAGTTCACTTAAGCTGTTATTATAATTTTTAAATGTTTATATGCTTAATCTTGCAGTAGGTCGAACCAATATCCAAGAGATTGAAGCAATCATAACTCTATGTTGATGTCTTTTTTTTAAAAGTAGGACAATTCTTGCATTTGTTTTTCTATGTTTTTAACAAATATAACTCTTTCTATAAAAATCAAAAACATTCTTCCAAATCAAAATCATTTGTAAAAGAGTTTATCAGTGCTGCAGAAAGTTAATTACTCTATTTTGATAATAGGTTGATATAACAGTTTGGAAAATCTTTAGACAACACACCATTAGAAAGAGGACTTAAGATCTTAAAGATGTTAAAAAATAACAAATAAAGGTAAAATTCTTCAATAAATTTAAAAAAAAAAAGAACCATTGTGTGAACGTACCTGCAATTTTTAGAGAGAATATGAGGAAACAGTGCCATTTCTTTACTGCCAACAGGAAAGCCATGAAGTGGGGCAGCAATGCCATACCAAGTTCCATTCTTCATAAATGAGATGGTGGCTGGACGAGAATCTAAATCCAGCATGGCTCCAATGACATCCCCTTCCCCAAAGCGAACAGCGTAATCAGTGAAACGATTATTGGTAGAGAACTTCCCAGTTCCACCATATCCAAAGGACCAAGGCTCTTCACCTAAAACAATGTGTTAATTTAAATTTGAACTTGTGGATTTAAGAAATACTGCATGGTTTACCTAGTAGATACTTGAAATGTTTTCTACAACCTATTCAACTTGAAATGATAATTAGTGAAACTATCTGAATTCAATTATCAATCTCAATATTAAGTTTGCTCAACAACTATCACATCATCTACAAATGAAACTTTTAATGTGCATGCAATAAAATAAAATCTAGTGACTCACCAAGTTGAAATGATGAACTGTCAATAGACCATCCTACTCTTATAATATGGGGATCTGTTTCATCATGGTCATCTCCAAAGTCTGTTGGCAAATGCTCAGTTATGTGGACCTCATAGAAAACCTATACATTAAAAAGGAAGAAGAAGGCTATTGAGCTCTAATTCAAAATTAAATCAAAATACTGTTAACTACTAAGAAAGACAGCAGAAAATTACCTTTCCCCGACAAATTCCATAAGTGGCTCTAGCTCCAGCCCAAGTAAAACAAAAACCAGACGGATTGTTCAAAACTGTAGCCCCATACCTGTAGCATAAAATTTTTTTTTATTATAATCCTACACATACAAATTTAAGTTTCTATCTAATTGATATTGATCTATGGGTATAATCAAAGTATAATGTTTATCATGAAGAATAAAAATGATTTTTAAAATAGAGCATTTTAAAAAAGTAAAAAAATACCTAAGATATTTTCAAAGAGTGATATGAAAAAAAGTGTTTACCCATCTTGATCAATCACTAAATTCAGGTCAGAGTTAAAGTGGTCCAGAACAACTAATGATTCATCCAAATTAAGCTCATCTAGATCTAATTCAGGATCTGCTTGCCATCGACTGCTTAAAACAAAATTGAGTAAAATTTAGAATGAAATGATGGTGTTGTCTTAAAAATATGTAATTTCAAAAGTACAACTTTCAGGAATGAAGACAAATTAAACTGAGTTTTTAACACACCAAACACTTAGTTTTTAAAATTTTAAAACTATTTTAATTTTTTTATTTTAGGGTATTAAAAAAATTCTCAAATCACCTTTTATCATCATCTTTCTTACGGTAATCTTGACCTTGAATGAGTTGCTGTGGTGAAGGAGATGCCTGCTGTAGCTGATGAAACTGGTGCAGTTGAGAAGATGGATGTTGAGGTGGCTGTTGTTGTAACTGGTGATGATGCTGCTGTGCAAACAGTCCAGCTGGAAGTGGTGAGCCTGCTGATAGAGGGGTCAGGGCCCCATAAGGTGATGGAATGCCACCAGGCACTGCTTGGTGTAAAGCAGACATTCCTCCTCCTACTGACATGATGGGTCCACCTACTCCAGTCATATGATGAGGTAGTCCAGATATACTGACCATACCCTGATGGCCCATGCCTAGAGCACCAAATGCAGCTGCTGAGGTAACCACAGGTGATGTGATGACTGGTGCTCCTGCTGCATGCGACACTGCAGCAGCCTGTGCTGCCATCTGCTGGTGGTGTAACATGGCAGGTTGTAATGATCCATGTGGATGATGGCCAGCCATACCAGGGGGAAGCTGCATAGCTCCTGGCATGACCATATACTGTTGCGGTACCATCATTGGCACAAGGCCAGGTGGATATTGATTCATTTTCAAATTTATCAAGTGTTACGTGAAAAAGAAATATCACTGCATAACTTCAAACAGGTAGAAAACAATACTGTTCAAAATCCTGCAAAAAAAAAAAAAAAATTTAAATAGTATTTTTAAAAAATTTCCTAATTTATTTTAATTTCTGGTCACATCCCATGCCTATATTTTATTATGTTAAATATATTTTTGGCTGATTCTAGCCGGAAGAAAATGCACATGTGCAAAGTGCTACAATGACCTGGTTTTTCTTGTCATCTAAATGTTCGTTGTTTAGAACTATGTGTTGTCTTGATGGGACAGAGATTAACACGATAAATACTTAAATGGTAATCAATTTCTTGGCCGGTCTTATAAAAAAACGGCTGACAATATTTGATTTATTTTTTCATAGACCGATAAACCTAATAATTACATTTTCTTACTAAATCTACAATTTACCCAATTTTCAATTTAAACATGACCACTGAATGATAGACTACCATAATTAATCCATTAGGCACTAATTTTGAAGTTTATAGTTCGTATTAAACTAAATTACTTAATTTAATATTTATTGTCACTCATTGCCATGCACGACACCTCTCCATGACAACCATTCTTACATTTGAAGCTTAAGAAACCACAAATTCGGTTAGATTTATTCAGTCTAACCATGCACCGAGAGTTCCTCACTAGTGATCACCAAATAGCGGTCACGTGGTTTAAAAAAATAAATATATTAGGTTGTCATTCAGAAGTCGTCTCATTTAAAAAGTGACTAAAATATTGGATTTATTTTTTCATAAACTTATAACCCTAATAGTTCTACAACCTTCAATTCATTTTTGTACTCTCCAGGCTGATATTTGAATAGTTCTATTAATTTTAATGACACCAACTTTTAAATTTAGCCTTCATTCTCCAAAGCAAATTTTAAAAGGCCGATGCTAGCCGGAATAAGATACGCATGCGCAATGGAGAGAAACTACGACTTGCCATCGCGGCGATGTTTTCAATGGTACTGCGCATGCATGTGTTTACAACTGCAGAACCCTAACACCAACCCTAACCCTAATCCTATCCCTAACCCTAATTCTAGCCATAGGTCACTGGAGACGTTGGGGAGAAAAATCTTCAGAGTAGTCACTTAGATTTTAAAATGCTTTTTTGGCAAATTTAGACCTGCCACCTATAGCATGTTTTTATAACGTGAAAACTCGCCATTTTGCTCGTGATAAACATTTTTTTTAAATTAATTATAAAAAGGTCTCTGGAACCAAGATGAAAAATCATCGGAAGTCATGCATCCGGTTCATACGCCATATTGTTGTTAGCAACCAGCCACACTTCCGGGGTAGCGAGCAATACTACTAATAATGCTTCAATATGGAAATCAATTTTGTACTAGGCCTATAAAATTTATATTTAAAAAATTCTATTATTTTTATATGAAACAAACTTTTCAATTTAGTCTGCATTCTCCAACCCAAATTTTGAAATGCATTTCTGGCATATAGGCTGCCACCTATAGTTTGTTGTTATAAAGTGAAAACCCCACCATTTTGCTCGTGGTAAGCATTTTCATAGTAATTCATAGAAGGTCACTGGAATTTGGCCAAAAATCGTCAGAAGTCATGCATCCGGTAAGGACGCCATATTTCTGATTTTACGCACCTATAGTATAGGCCTAATTAATCTATAACGATAGATTACCAAATCAACTCACTTTTTTTAGATCGCGATCAACCTAGAGCAGGGGTCGGCAACCTTTTGATACGCAAGAGCCAAAAGTTACAATTTATAAAATTTCCCAATTTTTAAAGAGATTAGGTAAATAAATGTGATTTGTTATTTGAAATAAATAGCTTTAATTATGAAATAATATTTATTCATATAAAAACATAGACATGTTTCGCCATCATAATAAAATTAGTAATCAAATAATATAATTCTAGAACTAGCTAGGCCAATGCCGCTGCCGAGAAAATCGGACAAATCGGCTTTTCCCTACCCCCTGCATGTTTAACTCTGTTTTTTGCATGCTTTTATTGTGTTTATTTTAACATGTTATACATCATTCTGTTCGTAATTGAATAACCTTTTTAACTGTATTAGTTTGATTTCTGTATTATTTCAGACGTAGAAGAAATCGCCGATTAAATCGCATTTTTTACCCTCCGCGGCGACGTGCCGATAAGGGGGGAGGCTTTTTCACCTTTTTAAAAGGGGGGTGTTACTTGGAGTCTATAGACTCTGTGAGTTTTCGTACTACAACTGTGAAACTTGGTAGAAGAATAGTATAAATGTACACGTATAACGCTCAGGGTTCTTGGTTAAAATATGTTAAATACTTTCGGAGATATCGGACCGCAAAGTTAAACTAAGTTATTTGAGCTATTTATGGACCGATTTTTTATTTGAACCCTGAGCTGTATTCCTGAAATCTCGACGTTTATTAATATGTATCATATGTCCTATAAGGCCCTATAATAAGGACGTCTATAGACTTTGAAATGGACCGAAAATATAAACACGACGCGCCGACCGCTGTTCGACTGAACCGCCCTGCTGTGCTTCGAATCGCCGTCTTTAACCTGATGACGCGTTACAAAATTTGTATACACGAATCGAGTTTACGTACTACAACAGTTAAATTTGGCAGACGAATACATTAAATGTAGACGTATAACGCTCAGGGTTCGTGGTCAAAATAAGTTAAATACTTTTGGAGATATCGGACCGCAAAGTTGAACCAAGTTTCCCGGTCTATTATTGGACATATTTTACATTTGAACCCTGAGCTGTATTCCCGAAATCTCGACGTTTATTTAAATGTATAACATGTATTATAGCGCCTCGTAATAAAGCCGTCCATACATTTTAAAACCGAACGAAAATAAAAATTAACGCGTCGGCCGCCGTCCGACTGAATCGCTCTGCTGTGGTGATCTACACATCGTGTGGCACAGCCGAGTGTGTGGTCACGTGACGCTAGGCGCTTGATCCGATTGGATGATACTATAAACAATGTCTAAAGATAGATACATGTGTTCCCGTGTTTGACTCGACGGCTATTGCTACTTTATATTTATAAGCACACAGACATGTTGCATAACTTTGTCTTAACCCATTGAAACGTCAAACAAAAGTTTTGTTAGTATTTACGGCTGAGGACTAATCGTCAAAATTAATCTTCTTTAGAAATTAATCTGAATAGCTTCGGCCCGATCAAACAATGCTGTGATGTGATTCGTGTAACGTTTCATAATTGTGTACATTACATTTTCGTAAAATTGGCTTTAAAAAATAAATTAAATTATATCCGGGGCTCTTTTCTAAAAATTTTAATACCACTAACAACGTTGGGGTTTCTAGCTTGCCAAATCGACCAAAGTGGGGTGGGGTGGATGGGGGTAGCCACTGACCATCCTACACCGTATGTAACACCCATAGCCTCACCCCGCCCCCACTAGTCCGTGACGCGACAAGCCGACGAGCATCGCTTTTGATGTTGTATAACATCCGTACGGTACACGGTGGTTTCATACCCCACCACCCTCCCCCTTCACTTTGTGGAGTTGATGTTACTAACCCTCGGGCATAGATCAGGAAATCTTGCCAGACTTTAGTCTCTGAAATTACATAATATTCGTCTGACACGTTCATCGGGTTGGCCGACTAGCCTATCCAGCGGTCGTGTTTACGTAATAGGGCAATAAAATTCGTTGGTCAGAAGACCTGGTTACCCACATGTCAGATTGAACTAAATCTAGGCAATAGCTGGTGGTGGTACACGTGTCTGTGTATATACACAATTTCTAGATTTTACTAGATCTACACAGTCAAGCACTCAAACACGTGCTTTTTTCTTAAGAAAGTTGTTAATTGTAAAAGGCCTACTGGTAGGCTTACAAAATACATAAACCTACTTACTACTAGCCTAATCATTGAGCATAAATATAAATGTATGTTATATATCTATAACTTACACTAGATCTAGATGTCTATACCTTGTGCAAGTTTTTAAACAAAATATTTTCCTCCCAAGTTTATTTTATTGACATTGTAAAAATGATTAACTTTAATATGGGTAATAATATTACGTAATTACCATAAAGCACACTCTGATTCTGATCAGACACATTTGTAACTAGGCTAATTCTTTAGCAAAAAGGATTAAGATATTTAAAATAACAAGAAATATAAAATTGTAATGAGATAGGCCTATATTTTTGGAATAGAGTAGGCCTATGGTATTGCACATAGATTACATAACATCTTTTAAGAAGTTACATAATCACAAATTTACTATAGCATTCTTCTCTTTGTATTGAAAAACTTGATTAGTTATATTTTCTTCTAGTAGGCTATTAACTTGAAGTTAACTGACAATGAGCAAAAGTGATTTTAAAACAAATTCATGGTATATTTTGAGCAAAGGGTGGGATTACATAACCTTAACATTTGATAGTTATGTAACAATGTTGGACCATTTTAAATCTACCATTATCTTGAGCTTATACAAATGTCATATTTTAGATTAAAACAGCGTTACATTTTAAAGAATGACTTCTTATCACATTGATTATTAGATGTTTAAAAAAAACTGACAGGGGAATATTACATAATCTATGAGATTAGTAGGTTGAGTAATCGAATGACACTTTTTAAAATAGCATTATTGGATTCAGCATACAAAAATCTATAAAATGTCTTAAATTTACATCAATTGATAAAGTATTCTGGCTTTTATACCACTTTTAGTGAAAAACGCTTAAAAATTTGGTCCATACCCTCCCAGTATTTTTCCTCTTTCAGGGTCTACCCCGGTTGTCTGAAAAAACTGCTGTTTTTTAATGACTAAAAAATTCATAACTTTTTTGTTTATGGTCAGATTTTGAAAATTCAAACTGATCTGTAATCAGATTGACAGCCCCTATCCAAATATCTAACTATTATATTGTTTTACTGAAATTAAATTTTTGCATTGGCCTAGCTACTAGAACTATCTCAATCCACTTAATAAGCTGTTAATATTTTATTTTATTTTTTTTTTCACGGATATCACCGGCTCAGGAAGTGTCTCCCATTAGCCAGTCAGGCCTCAACACGGCAAACGCCTTCTAACTGGTTTGGATATCGGTTTGAATAATTTGCATCGTTCGCTTCTGTCATTTGGTTCTCACCAGGCTTATCTTCCATCCCACTGAACGCAGGGTAAGCTCGTACCCCACCGTCCAGTAAAAATGAAATTATACAACTATTAATATTTGTGCAAGGAGCTGGAGAGCCGCATCTAGACATCAACAGAGCCGCATGCGGCTCGCGAGCCGCAGGTTGACGACCCCTGACCTAGAGAAAAGATTTAGCGGACCGATCCGCGCAAACAAGGTTAAATAAATGCCTAGAAATCTTTTTAAAAGACTTAGTTGTTCAAACAAGAGCAGCGAAGAGCTGTAAAGGTGCAGCAAGATAAGACTCGCATTAGATCTAGATTTAGAAGAACTAGAAAGAAAGACATCTACTCTTGCTTGACTAGGTGAGTCAGATTTTCAAAGTAGACGGTTGTGGTTGTTCAGTCTAAACGTCTTGTAATATCACATACATCTAGATCTATATTTAAATTGATGCTCTTAATAATAGGGTAGTTGACACTACACTTTACAAAGCAGACAAGCTATGTCTTACTCTTTAACATCAAACTTAGACTCAACGATGAAATATATCTTCATCAAACGAAGAGAAATGTATTGTCAGCCATGTTGAATTTTTTTCGAGCACTTAGCGTACGTTTTCGTTTACAATAGGTACTATCGAGTACTTTTGGATTTAGAAAACGAAAATTATGCCGATTTTTGTTCGTACTGCAAGATCTAATCTAGATATTAAACCGCACTAACCTTACACTTATACACTGGGCCTAAACGCTTGAGAATGAGTGTGCCCTAAAATTTACAATGTTTCGTATACGTCTCTTATACGAATTATAATTTTAGGTATATTGGCTACTTTCTAGACTAGATCTAGATATCTAGATCTAGATCTAAATAATAAAATGTCCTTTAGGAATAATGCACTTGATTTTGTTACTTCAGATACAGTTAGTAGATTGTTAGATTATCCATCGTTATTTAAAGCAATTGAAAAAGGTTTGGCAAACTTCTCAAACAGAAAAGCTGGAGGCATCGACCAACCTGTGCGTAGCACCGTAGCAGTAGCTGAAGCAAATGGGTAGGCCTATGCTTAGTGGAGTGACAGAGATGTTACAGTCTAGATCTAGATTCTGGATCTAAATTCTAGATCTATGTGGTTCTATTCCATATTTCGCTGGTATTAATACATAGATCTGGAATCTAGATGTAATTAATTTTTACTAGGACAGGTTTTAAATATTAAATATCAATTTTATTTTATTGTGCAAACAAATAACATGAAATATAACTATTACATTTTTATAACATGATTAATTTAATTCATATTCACAGAGGCGTAGCGAGGGGGGGGTCACATGTCCCCGGGCGCTAACCTTAGGGTGCGCCAAAATGGGTTGGAAAAATAAATTGAAAGGTTGAGGGGGGGTGCAAATCGAAAGTTTGTCCCCGGGCGCCGGGAAGGGTCGCTACGCCTCTGCATATTCATATTATATTCTATAAGGCTACTTAAATTATTTGACTTTAAAAAATTTTCGGATGAGGGGGGGACTAAAATTTCCAAGGGGGGTGGCGGACACTGTTAAAGTATATAAATTCCATTTTGTTCAGGGGGGGGGGGGGGGGGTCCTGCAGACTTTCTTCGGGGGGGGGGGGGGATGTCTGGAAGAAACCCTGTTTTAATTAGCTAATAATTTTACATTTGCCCATTTCTTAACCCATAGGTTTCTTGGGTGCATGCCAGTGTACAGTAAAGAAGATGATGTACTTGCTACAAAGCTTGTTTCTTTTTATCCACTAAATAAGGACTGCCCAACACACAGTGCTATCATTGCTGTTTTTTATCCCCAAACTGGAATACCTAGAGCTGTAAGTAGTAGATCCTCTAGTTATAAAAACAAAATGTCCTTTTTTCACTTTATGTTGCAGCTGTCTTGAACTCACTTGAATGCATTTCGAACTATTTCAATCAAAATTTTAATTATAGGGTAAACATTAGTGAAAATAGCAAGCAAGGGGTTATTCCTTTCCCTGGTAAAGAGTTTTGAAGAAGTCATTCTAATGATCAAATTTTTAAAATGATGCTTTTTTGAAAAAAAAAAAAATCTAGATTCTTGATGGTGATGTGATTACTGCTAAACGAACAGCAGCAACCTCATTGGTTGCTTCAAAGGTCTGTAAAAATTAAATTTTCTCATAATGAATAATGTCAGTGTGGGTTTTTTAATGATGAGTTACCATTTTTACATATTAGAACATAGAATTAGGATAACAAGAAATAAAATCATGAATTAAAATGTATACAAACTATATTTAGAAATCCTTTTTTTTTTCAGATTTTTTTTATGTTGCTAGTATAATCTATTTGTATTCAAGTATGCCCTTATTTTATTTTTAATCGTCTAGTATCTTGTAAATGGGGAACCCAAAATTCTAGCCATTTTGGGATCTGGTGTTCAAGCAAAATCTCATTATGAAGCATTTTGTCATTTGTATAATTTTACAGAGGTAGGAATATTTCCAATAAAAATCACAAATAATCTTTTTAAGACACTATTCAAATATGTGGACAAATGAATGAAAGAGTGTTTACTATTTAGATTGATTGTAGATCAAGTAAAATTCTGATAGTTTTTTACACAAGAGCAGGAACATTGTTTTACATTTTGCTTATCTAAAAAAAATATTTGTTTCAGTTTCATAAAATTATTTCTTGTTTACAAGAACAGGTTCGTATATGGAATCATCGAAAAGAAGGAGCTCAGAGACTAGCTGATGAGTTGGGCAGCAAATGTGTGGCAGTCGACCATGTAGCAGTAGCAGTAGAAAATGCTGATGTCATTGTAACTGCAACCAGTGCCACAGAACCTGTTTTAAAACTTGAATGGGTCAAGCCTGGTGTACATATTAATGGTGAGCAATTTTCAAATGATTCTTATGATAGCTATGGTTTGATTTTTCTGTTAGTTACTTTATGAGAAGTTTTACCTAACTTTGCCCTATTCCCATAATGAATTCCTCCTAAAGTTTTACTTCCACTTACCAGTTGTCTGGTACCCAATAAGTCTGCCAAATGTCTACTGTTCACTGTCAGAAACACAAGTGTTTCAACGATTAGTCATTACAATATATTAGATATTTGTAATGATTAAATTATTCATTGGATGTAAAATAATGTATGCTAATAATTTTACATTTGCCCATTTCTTAACCCAAAGGTTTCATTTTATCCACAAATAAAAATATACCAAATTTTTTTTACAGCTGTTGGTGCCTGTAGACCCAATTGGTCAGAAATAGATCCACTGCTTATGAATGCTGCTACAGTGTATGTGGACAGTCAAGAGGGTGCCCTGAAAGAGAGTGGAGACATTATCATATCACGAGTGAGAAAAAAAATGTCTTCAAGCACTGGCGTCAGCTGGTTATTAAGGGGCGGCATGGCCTTGTGGTGAAGCACTAGACTGCTCATTTGAAAGTCTCAAGTTCAAATCCAGGTTCTAGTCAGTAGAATGTCCTGAGTCCACCCAGCTCTGATGAATACCTAACTTAGGGAAAGTAAAGGCAGTTGGGCACAGTGGTAACCACATTATATAATCCCTTCATATGTTGAGGTCACAGAAACAGGTGAACTCTTCTTCTCTTGTCCCATGGACCGTCAGGTTCAAAAAGGGAACTTCTTTACCTTTTGACAGTTGGACATTGTGCTGACCACACTATCCCTTCATATATTGGCGGTCAGGTGTAGTACTCACAGATATAGTGTGGAGAGAAAGGTTCATCTTCTAAATAGACTGTTCTAAAGTGGACTACAGTTTGTAGCTCAAGAGCTACATACAGTACTTTGAATGGAATACATCCACTCTTTGCATTAAAAATTAAAAATGTGTCAGTAGTGTCAAGGTGGAGAAAATGTCCATTTGCTCTAAAGCAGTTTCTGCAGTTTGAAACACCATCATGTTATCTTAAGTTAGGCTTTGTAAAAAGAAGAATTAATGTATACACAGGCTTTCATTCAGAACAGATTGCTGACCCCTCATTTACACAATCCAACTTTTTATTTTCTCCCTAGTGGGTAATGTTTTACTAGTAGCACTGAAATAAGCAACTTAAAATAATTATGAGGTTTAATAATACCTGAGTGCTGTAACAATATTTAGATCAAACTTTTTCATGTTTTTAATTCTATAATTATTTGTTCTAAACTCTCATTTTGATGTTTTTAATTCTATAATTTTTTGTTCTAAATTTTCATTTTGTTGTTTTTAGTTCTATAATTATTTGTTCTAAACTCTCATTTTGATGTTTTTAGTTCTATAATTATTTGTTCTAAACTCTCATTTTGATGTATTTTTATTTCAACTATTTTATTTTTCCTCTATAGTCTCCAATATTTGCTGAGATTGGAGAAGTCATTAATGGTACAAAAGAAGGAAAAAGAAAAGAAATCACAGTTTTTAAATCTCTGGGTAACATTTTTTATTCTTGAAAGCAAACAGCTTTTGTCTTTAATCAACTTTTTAAATCTCAACTTTCTACTTCCTGCTGAAGTAGAATACAATAAATTCTGGATATTTTAATGTGGCCTAGCTGGACTGCTAACCCATAAGTCTCGAGTTTGAATCTAGATACAAGTCAGTAGATGGTCCCTGAGTCCACCCAGCTCTGATGCGTACCTAACTCTCATTGGGGTTAGTAATGGCAGCTGGGCATAGTGCTGACCACATTATCCCTTCATATGTCGAGGTCACAGGAACAAGTTTACTCTGCTTCACTTGCCCCATAGACCGTCAGGTTTGAAAGTTAACTTTACTTACTAAATGTGCATGATTTTGTTACCTCAACTCTATCTAAATTGACAAATTTTAAAGCCTAACCTAAACTTTGGAGTTTCTGATTCTAAGGTAATGACTAGCTAGTTTACAAATATTTTACACAATATTACTTCAATTTACCATTTTTTCCAAGCACTGCGTAAAAACTAATGAAGTTAAATATCAGATAAAAATATTCTGAAAATATTAACTTATACTAGTTACACCCATGATATTTTCCCCAACAGGTATGGCCATAGAGGACGCAATAGCAGCAAAGATAGTCCTGGATAAAATGGAAAGTCTTCCGTCATAGAATCATGAAAAATGTTGGTTAAACAGTGTTTAATCACCAGCAAATGATTTATTATTCAGATTTTCCTCACACAATAACTGTAGATGTCATTTTTAAAACATGGACATCTATCTACATATATAAAAGCAAAGTAGGGGTTATTTGTTTATTTATCACTCACATTTATTTGTTTGGGTACTTGCAAATTCTTCTTCTTCATTCTTAATTTTTAATGTTGGAAGGGATCGAGCCTTATCTGCCAGAGGGTTTGAACTCGAGACTTTTTTTCGAATTTTATCAACCATGAGCTTTGCCGACTCGACCATGCTTCAATCACAATTAAGGATTACGTGTCAACTGGTTATGCGCCATTGAGGCCATTGACTCCGATTTCAGCCTGCTTTTCTTTTTGGATTTGCTTCCATAGCCTTTGTCCAACCAAGAACAAACTAGTTTGTTTGATTTTGTAGTTGTCTCTCCTAGAAGAGTGGCTGTCCCCAGCTAACGAGCCTCATCTGCCCGAGGGTTCGAACTCGAGACTTTTCGGTTTAGCAACCATGAGCTTTACAGACTCGACCACGCCGACCCCTTACTTGCAAATAAGTTTCAGGGAAATGGTTCCTTGACAATATGTGCTGTTCACCTCTGATTCTCACATGAAAATTAGAGCCATCTCATGAATTGTATTTATTGAGACCAAAAACTGACCAAACATTTATATAGAGCTGTGTTTTGGCCTATAGGGCTGGTAAGTAGGTCACCAACCAGTTCTATGGCTCATGCAGGTTTTATTGAGCCGTAGAACTGGTCGGTGACCTACTTACCAGCCCTATAGAGATGTTATGTAATGTTACACTATTGCTTAAAATGGAAGCATGAAATCATTCCCCTCCCATCAATTACCCCCCTACCCCCAGATCAACTAGCCCTGTGTTAGAAACATAGTATGGAGATATAAGGAAACAAAGATATTTATTGGTATAAAATGTATTCTGTAAAGGAATAATTACGCTGGGTGGTAATTGATGGGTTGTAATCAAGCAGGGCTAATGACCGAGTGATGAGTTGGAGTAGGTAACGTAGTGGACTCAAGTAAAATATGTCACACTTAGGATAAATTTAGGATGAATTTTATGTTTTTGCTTATTTATTAAATTCTTAAGACCTTAGTTAAATTATGTTTATTGTTGAAATTCCTAAGATCTTAAATTACATTTTAATAAAATTGATGCCCTTTTACATATATTTAACATTTAATAGGTACTGGTGGCTTACTTTTATTTTTATAGTAGAGTATGATTTGTGTGGGTGCAATGTTTTGTTACACTTTGTTTGGTTGTTTTCATTGTTTTATTTGTTTACTTCAATGTCAGGCTTTGCAATTGTTTACAATGACGGTGAAAACCTGTAAACTCTAACATAATACTCTTCCAACATTTTATTTTTTTATATTTTGTTAGTATGTTGGTTTGTTATGCACTAGGAAAGTGAAAGTAAGTAAAAAGTGGTTTTCTGTAGAATGTTTTGACTCTGATGCCTATTATTTTTTTGTAATGAAATCAGTAGCTACACGGACTATGAGAGATGTTTCCTTCTGGAATGTTGAGGGTAGTTCTGTTTTGGGATGTCTGATGTAGATTATGTGTGTGTCTGTGTGCTTCTTTAATAACTGTGTACTAAAATAATAAAGTGTACATGTTGCTGCTTTAGGGGTAGCTTTATGTATTGCTGTTTATTGTTACAAAAAATGTAAACACACATTGTTTCAGTTATTTAAATTTATAAATGGCTGAAGCAAAGCCTAGCCGATAATGGCTAGTTCTTGCTGTGTACATTCACTCCTTATGTTTGTTAATAAAAAAAAACTCAAACCACTGTTGATTTGGTAAGATATGGAATTTTTTTTGGGTGATAGTTTGTAATAGTTGAAGTACATAATGTTGGAGGGGGGGGTGTGACCTATTATCCGTTTGAAAATATATTTAAAAATGTCTGTTGAATATAGGTTTAAGGTTATGCTGACCTTTCCTTTTGCCATGAATTATCCTAAATCCAGTGTTGCATTTCGTTAAGCTATTTAATTTGTAAAAATATTTTTTTATAATTCTCTACATTGTCGTTTAGAACAAGAAACGATCTTCTAAGCTGATTATTCCCTTCACATTGTTTATTTTTTTTATTTTTTCCTGGGAAAAAAACAAGTACTTCAATGGGAGGAATTAGCATGGCATGACGCCATGTTAAAGTTTAAAAAAAAAAAAACGGCATTACATTTGCATACTGCTGCGTGACACTAAAGGAATACTTGATGCAGAATGTTGTTATTATTGTAAGTGGCTTATCCAGTGGACCCGTGTGTGTCAAAACTACAATGAGGCTTATCGTGTCATAAAACACTGTGTGAAAATTTAAAAAATATAACGTTTGTCATCACGCCGTATCGATTGGTTCTTTCAAATCTCTAATATTTTCTCATGTTCATTTGTTTAGAACAATGATATCTAAAGCAAATAAAATGTGTAGTTTTAACCTTTGAAACTGAAAACACTGTCAGATAGTACATAATAGAGTGGAAGGTACGCCCCACCCCCTGAAGCACGAGGGGGTGGGGAGCACTTTGAAATTTCCAGGTTGAGAAGGGGGGAGTGGACGATGACACGGGTTCGCGTATATAGTTTCTATATAAATTTAAAATAATATATATTTTTTTTTCTATTCCGTTCGCAGAACAGTGCCTGAAAAAAATAGCTCTCTCCCAGCCCCACAAAATTGACTTTTTTTTACCCCCCCCCCCCCCCTTTCCTCCCACGTCTGTGTCTGGAAGTCATTAGCGAATGATCCCTAAATAACGAAGTCTATTGACGAATATGTTCAGTCGCTTCTAGCTCAAATTTATTTATTTTTTTACTGAACAGTGTTTTTTTATTTCAATAGTAATGAAGTTAAAAGATGTGATTTATACACCATTAAGACCTAGCTATAATGAGTGGTAAGTCATTAGGCAAGCTGTCATTAGTTTTGATGGCGCACAAGTATTGTCATGACCAGCCACCAATCAGGTTTTTTTTCCAGGGAAGGGGCTCTTGAAACATCAGGGGTGGGGGCTAACACAGGTTCCAGTATATATTTTCTATATATACTGTAACCTGTGTCCGTCCTCCCTCTCCTTGGGAGGGGTGTTTGCTTGCTCTGGGTAGAGTATTGTGGTTACGCTCCCTGAAGAGATACCTGAAAGGAACTCTGGCGACAATACCCGATTACAGTGGTAGAAGCAGTATTTCTTTCATGCTTTTTTCGTGGGGGTGAAGGAGAAGTGCACTCGAAAATTTGAAGAAATGGCTGAGAGAAACACTAGCAGGCTGGACTTACGGTGAAGTGAGCTGTTGGGGAGGTAGACCTACAGCTGAACCCGGTCAATCGGTTACAAAATCTGCAACCGGACAACCCTAGAATAAACAATACAATAATTGCACTTAATTAGATCAGGCATTCATTTTAAAAAAGTTTCAGATTTAAAAGTTATTTTTATTTGTTAACCAACACTGACGAAAGTGTATCAGGCAAGGCTACAACATTCTTGACAGCAATTGACGTGAATATTTTCCGACTCATTTCCATTTTTTCTAAGTCCGTTACTACTAGTGGCGTTACTAGGTAACTGAGGGTGTCACCCGGCGCTGTAACACCCCCCCCCCCCCCTTCCACCCCACCCGACACTTTTGCATTTTCATGATAATGCCAGTATTCTCACCTACGTTTGTATTATTTTAACTGGTTAAATCATTGTTTTGACAGTACATTTTAAGGTTTTTGGATTTGGTGTTACCCTGTGCGGACCAATTCCTCCCCCACCGTCCCCCCCCCCCAAGCCGTCAGCCTTGAGACGCCACTGACTCCATCACTACCACAAGAACATACCTATTTTCTAATGTATCAAACCAAACCACGACTCTGGCCATTAGGGGCATTGTAAAAGTACTAAATATAATATATCCATAGCCTCGTTATGATGTTTCTGCATGAGTCAACAGAAGACACGTGACTTACCTTCTGTATGTCCCAGGCTTGATTTCATTGCCGTTCGGCGGACACGCGTGATTGATTTTCATTCATGGCGTCCGTTCAGCGTAAACCACACTATTGGTAGGTGAACACATTCGATTGGGCTGTGGGCTATCCAAAATCTCGTCATTAGCATACATATTTTAACATTAGTTTCTACGGTTGACTGGTCAGGGTAAGCTGGGGTGGGGGGGGGGGGAGTTGATTTCTTAGTTATTTTTGGCTTGTACTTGTATTGTTGTGAAAGAAATCTCTCGTGGAATACGTGTGTTTCGAGCATTCCTGTTACAAGGTTGAGCGTGTCAAATCTGAAAAGTATAACAAATCTCAGACATTTTCATACGTTTAAAGTATGACAGATTTCAAAAATATTTTCATACATTAAAAGTATAACAGATTTCATAAATATTTTCATACGTTAAAAGTAATAAAAGAATAAGTAGAAATATTTTCAAATGGTAAAAGTATAAAACATTTCAGAAATATTTTCACGCGTTTAAAGTATGTACAATTTTAGAAATGTTTCATAGGTTAAAAGTAGGTAAAACACATTTCAGAAATGCCCTCGGAGATCAATACTTCATTCGATGTAAAGGTCTTCCATATCTTAAGCCGTCCAAGGAGAGCTCACGAATGCTAAGGTAACAGAGAGGTCTATTAGACTTTACTTCTTCCCCAATTAATGCTGGGTATCCGATAGAGCTGAGTACTCGAGATCCAAACCCAAATCTTAAGTTAATCAAAATTTGAACCGAGTATACAATTTTTAATCCTTGATGTGGCTCTAGATTTGCCTTAATACGTACACTAGAGAAATATTGGCATCATCATCCGTTTAGGGTGGGGTGGAGGGGGGGGGGGTGGAAAGAGATGCCACGAAATTGTCTATGAGCGACGAAGTGGGTGAAGTTGATGTGTGTGGGAGGGGGGGGGGGGGGGGAGAATTGTGAAATAGCCCAAATGTCGCATTTCATTACAATCTTAATTTACTAGGTAAAGGGGGGGGGGAGATGTGACCTTATTTTTTTGTCACGGCAAGTGAATATGTGATATTTTATGATAAACACCGTTCTGATTTCATGTTATTTTGCTACAAACTGCTCTATGTGGACACAAATATGATCGGATAGCCGTTGCGTACAAAATACTAGCCTAACGCTAGCTCCCAAGTTGGGGGCTTATGCGTCATCATGACGTCACAGCCACCACCGCCGCCTCACCGTAGCGTCGTCACCCGACAATTTTATTTCCCCGCGCGTAGCACTGTCACCGGCAGACGACACGCTCGTTTTTGCTGACCGACACCGCCGCTTTTATTTATGTGACAGCAGACCACTGAACGCGAATTTCACTTTCCTGTGTCTCGGTTTCTAGGCGTGCGGATATCTGAAACCCTACGCACGCTTTTAATTAAAGAACCAACAACCTGCTTGAGGTATAATTCTCTTTTGTCGCAAGTGTTTGTACAGGAAAATGTAAGAGATTTTTCAGAAGGATTTATGTAGTTCCAATGGAGATTTCCAATACAATTATTGATTATTTTTTTTTGGAGACATCAAACGAAGCTTAATTAATTAGATTGAAATAGAAGTTTGTGTGGGATTTCATTTAGGGTAAACCAAATGTGTGGATACTTTGGGATACTCACCTACGATCCAGCTTTGAACTA